AATACTATAAAATATACAATAATAATATAAATAATATAATAAAATTTAAGAGAATATATAATAAATATATAATAAAAATTGTTAATAAAATTTGACTAATAAAAATTGCCTAATAAAATATATATAATCTAAATAAATTTGACTAATAAATTTGCTAATATAACACTACTCCCTCCTTGAAAAATTTTGCTCTGCAAAATTATAAAAGATTTATTGTAATACAAACGCGGTAATCATGATCCGTCGGCAAAGTTTACTAGTCCGTCAGTGGGTATTGAACCTACAACTGCTGGCAATAGTCGCACATCATTACCACTCTACTACATTTGGTAATATTGTAAAAATTGTTGATTGTTCTATTTTTAAACAATAAAATTACTATATATAGTCTAGTGATTTTTAAGGGCTTGAGTTTGTGTAAAATAAAGTGAAAAGAAAATTTTTTATTTTATTATTTTTTTTTATATACTAAATTTTAAAACTAAAAAGAAAGATAAAAATAAATAATAACAATAATAATAAAATAAAATTTAACTAATATTTATAATAGTATAAAGATGCCATTACGATATCAAACTATTCGAGCTCGCAGAAGAAATGGTCAAAATGCTCTTTATGAAGCAATCGATATGCTCTAAAGTGAGAATCGAAGGTAATTTAAATAATATAAATAATGATAATAAAATAATACAAATAATAAATAATAATATATAATAAAAATTGTAATTTTTAGATTGGCTCAAGAAATACAAGGTTAAGGAGAAGAGTTTTTGAGTTGGAAGGGTTGTTAGCAACAAGAGCCTTGCAGCTGGACGAGGCTTTATAAGCAAGGGTTCGAGAGTTGACATTGGAGGTTGAGAATCAGCAGTTGCATTTGGAAGAGAGAACTAAGAGCGTAATACCAATTATGCGCTTTTGGTTCGAGAAAGAAGTGTATTAAGGTCTCGAATAGCGAACCTGGAGGTGTTGTTACATATCACCTCTAATTAAAAATTTTAATAAAAATTTTATAATTTTTCTATTATTTTGTTATATTGTTCCTTGGTTAATTTTTCTATTGTTAATACTGTAATAAATTTTGCTTTATAAAGTTGGTTGACTCCAACTTTATAATAAATATTATAAATTCTTTTACTTGACTTCCATCTTTTGGCTAATTTGTCTTTTCCAAGTCCTCTCGTAAGTTTTTTTCTAATTTCGTTTAGAAACTTTTTATCGACTTTATTCTTATTTCTCAGTTCACCTAAATAATAATCAGCTTCGAGTTTTGCAATTTGAGCATTCTTTTGATTTCTGTACTGATTAATTTTAGTTATGATTTTGTTTAATACCTCAAAATCATTATTGCTTATAAATAATGAACTAAAAGCTTCATTATTCTTGGTCGAATGATTGAGATCTTTAATAATTTTGTCAACAGTTGACTCTTCTTTGTGATTTTCTTCATTAAGATTATTCAATAATTTGAAGTTATTTACTGCGTTGTCTTCTTGATAATAGGCTTCTATAAATGGGTTTGTAATATTGCTTTGTAGTAACTTGGTCCAAAAGTTTTCCATTTTAAGTTTTGTTTTTTTTTTTTTT